GTCTTTTTAGAAAAATTTACTTTGCAGTAGCAGTATAGTACATTTTTATTTCATTGCTGAATACCAAAGTTAAGTAAAATAGTTTTCTAAAATAAAAATTACGAAGAAGAAAATGGTTTGTCAAGTTTACCTACTTGTATTTATCGAAAATGGTACTTCAAATGGCAGACCAACTATCTGAGAATATTTTGCAAAAAAAACAAAAAGATATCCTGTTATTTCTGGGCACAGCAACAAAAGATAGATTAAAAGAAGAGAGCCAAAAAAATAATATTTTGAAAAGAGTGAAACTTTTACTAGGGTAATTGTTTGGTATTTTGTAGATCTGCCCATTGTCTGTCATCCCTTTCTTTTGTCGTACTATTTACCGAACACCCTGTATATCTAAGTCTAGTCTAGTATAAGATCTTAATTAGAAGCAACCCCCTACCGTCTGCTTAACGGATGGAAAGTATGTCATATCAAATTTATTATGTTAAAAAGTATGTCGCGAGTGGATTAAGATTTGAAAATGGCTCTTTACTAAACATTTCACTAATGAAGTATGAAGCCTTCGTAATATGCAAACGTTAGGCTCTCTATCTTTTTCCCAGCCTAACTACTAAGGTGGCAGGTATAAACAGGTATGTTGACACTAGTTATTTTCACCCATTTGTTTAACAAATAAACCTTATATCAAAAGAAACGCCGTTTTATTGCAATCGCGATGATATACGATTGTCTTAAAAAAACGCTGCTGAAATGATAGTTGGTGGCTTGTAACAAGTGAAATTTTGATGCGAATGGAAACTTGCAAGAAAGTTGTCCAAGCTACTCTTGCGATACACCAGTGAATACTGAGAAATATTTTGGAGTAACTAATATTGACAACACCGTGGCGCACCTCAAGTGCGACCAATACGTGCGCGATTCCTCGGCTGAAAATATTTTTCTGTTCTAAGGGAAAATGTACTGCAAAAGCAAGTACAAAGCATTTTTGTCCTTGGCATTGTAGTAATGTTGCGTAAAAATTTCATCCAAATCCAAGAAGTACTTTCCAAGTTATATAGGAAGACCAAGGATTAGCGAAAAGACTGACACACAGACCGACGGAAATGAGTGATATGGTTTTTGTGATGTACATGTCATGTATGATCAAACAAATATAATTTCTAATTTTCAAAAAGTGTCACCATTAAAATAATTCCTCGCCAGTGAACGTAGAGGATCAAACGAATTCGATTAGGTTAGAAGGAGCCTACATGTTTACAATGAATTGTCTGTCGCCGAATCTGCCTAGTTTTAGTGTACACTTTTGACTCATTTGTCTACCATTCCCTATCAAAGTGACAGAGCTACATCAACATAATAATACTTATAAGTGGAAACATCGACCTTCATTAGGTTTGTGCCGCGCTTTGCAAATTAAGTAAAGCCATATAACAGATACGTAACAACACCGCTAACCGAACCACTCGACGAACCGCAGCGCGCGCATTTTGACGAACAACATTGTAACGAACATCACCACATACCGAACGAAGTCGTGCAACCACATCGCGCAACAAAATGACGATCCAATTTTGATATTTGTCGTTCAGTGACAGACGAAGACTAGTGGAAATGGATATATAAGTAGCAGCAGCTCCCTATATTTATATTCAATACGCTACGAATTATCCAAAAACAAGCGACGACGACGTCCGAGACGATGGTGGCAAACGCAGTTATATAGCAATAGATCAGCAAACGGTTGAAACAATTTGATAGCTTAAGTGGACAGTACAACAAGCATGTCTCCGACAGACAAAAATACGACGACAAGATACAAAATTGGGAGCTACCATCACAGTACAAGAAAGAATTGCAGTCGCGGTGCGATTTTTAGCGACCGGTGATTTATACAGTAGTTTGCAATACATGTTTCGAATTTCAAAGCAATCGATCAGCTACATCATTCCAGAAGTTTGTGGGGCATTGATGGAAGTTTTAAATGAAAATATACAAATAAGAAAAATAATTATTTTACATTACAAAATGACATACTGGTGCTCGCCGCACCGGTACGTGTGACCAAACGTGTGCAACTTCGTCGCGAGCCATTCCCTTGATGTTGCGCTGAAAAACCGACAGAGCCTGGATCGGGCCGAACGGCGAGATGTAACGCTAACTAGGTTCGCGACGGCGTGCTTTTCTCCGTCTACACTAGCGTGGCGCGGTTCGTCCAGTGCTTCGGCTCGGGGTGTTGTTACATATCTGTACATGGCTTAAGAAGTATCATGTCTTGAAATCGTCTAACACCACAATTATCTGCAAATACTAGTATTTTTAAAAAATAACACTAAAAATTCAAATTCAGTGACAGAAGTGCCACAAGATTGATTCATGTCGTATGCACTCTGATGCTGACTACAGACTATGAGAATTAGGAGACAAACATAGAGAGCGTTTCAAACACGGAAACTGCACCAGTTTTATCAAAAGAAGACATTATTAAAGAACTTCATATCGGCACTGAATAATTTTCACAGCATTGTAACTGGTCAGATTTTGCAAGGTGATACACGACAAATGTTAAAACAAATAGATAGGCTCTGCATAATGGAGGTACAAAAATGGCCTCAAGTAGAATGATTCATCATTTTCCAGGCTTCCATGTGAACAGTTCATAAGAGGATTATGTTCGGCATGAATTCGCTCATCCGAAGAAAAAGATAGCTACGAAAATGTATAGTAAAAAAATAAATGGGAGTCAAACAGGCTCATACAAATGTTGCATATAATTTTGTAGCCTGTTCTGTCGACAGTACTGACCATCGCCCAAACTTCGCCGCTCGCCACTCCTTTAAATGTAACCGAGCGATCGAACACTAATTCTAGGACCCTATGTAAGTGTAACATTATATTTTAACATTCATTTCCCATTATGATACCCCATGGGCGACTATACGACTACATAATGTTTTGTAAACACTGATACTGGCTGAAGTAACTTAAGCCGGATGTCTCCAGATTTCCTGGATTTCCTCGACAACAGCCAGTGAAGGTGTAAATCGAATGCCTGGACATTAAACAGGCCAAATAAACCAAATTGTGGTACAAGAAATCCAACAAAGCTCACAATTTGCCGGACACAGCCACTCGCAGAGTTGTCCGGCTGCGCTCGACAAAAAAGCAGAGCAATAAAGCCATTACTGTATTGCGGAGCGCTTAAAATAGGAAATCTAGCATGCTATGTGCACAAAAAGGTTGTAAATTACTTATTGGCGACAAAGGAGGCTTGTCAGATGTATTTATGGGCAATGATCGTCCGATGTTTGGTGCTTTTGGTGACAGACGTTGGCCAGAAAATGGTTTTTAAATAAGGAAAAAATGGAGTCAAGTGAAGTGACTATTGCAAGACAGTCTAACTTTTAAATCTAGCTTGCTATGTGCAGAGGAGGCTTGTCGGATATATTTATGAGCAACGATCACTCAGTATTTGGTGCAATTGGTGAGTGGTTTTGACTCATGCGATAAAATAGGAAACGTTTGACCACCCTGAGAAATAATCATGTCATTGTACTTACAACGAGCAAGCAAAGAATAGTGCAGATTTGTTTCGGAATGCAATTATGGCTGCACTGTGAGAAATTTATTATATATCTATTTACGTCAGTATTAATTGCGGAGTCAAGCATGATCCTTACGCATATTACTATAAAGCTATTTCAGAGTTTAAAAGCTCCGAAAATCAAATTTTACATATTTTTTTTTTAGCATCGGAAATTAAGTAGATTGACTCAGTGTTTCTAGTGCATGAGTGTATATCTATCTATTCATCAAGTGTCTGTGAGGCTGCACTCCGGTGTAGCATAATGCGAGATTCGATCGATTTTAATTAAATAAAATTAAAAATACATTTTTTAAAATGACCTTATTTAGCTGTTAACATGAATTAAAAATTCCTAAACATTTTTTTTCCGATTGTAAATACGCCGTTTTATACTTCTTCACCTTTAAACGATATTGAAGCTCCTCCATCTCAAGCTTTCAAGTAAAAGTGTGTTACGTTTCAACATGGCTTTATTTCAAAATTTGAGATGAAGGTGCTTCACTGTTGTTTAAAGGTTAAAACGTATAAAAATGGTATATTTCCACTCGGAAAGATTATTTCTGAAATTTAGTTTGTTTTAACAGCGCCTGATACGCTGCTTATTTCAAGTTGAACCATACTTGAGCGAATCATGCCGTTTATTTCATATTTGATTTTGGAGCTTTGCTTCTCCTAGTTACGTTGTACATCAATGCTGACGGCGGCTATCTCACCGAGCCATGTATGTTACAGATATTTATTTGCGTCTCTTAGCTTATTGTGTAGCCAAACAAATCGACATTTTGAGTCTAACTGGATTTTAAATGATGCCACCTCCCTGATAGTGATGAAACCCTTTTATTTGATACACATATTTCAGGTGTTATTTCGAAAGTTGCAAATCGCCATTTTCCACAATTCAAAATGGTAGCATTCTATCTATGTTAAAAATACCCCATGCTTGTCTAGCTAATAAAACCACAAACATCTTCTTCACTGCAGTAAAAGTTTCAATCTCAAAGGTGATCTTCTTCAGTACAATGACATACGTATATTTGATTTATTGACCTGACAAACATGATGGATTATCGACATGTAGACCATAGGATATGAATGAATGAGTTATGAAATTAGAGGCATACATACACACCGTAAGGTGCCGGCGCATAGGACACTTAGACGGACCCTTATACACCCCTACATTCCCTAAACCTTAACGTAAACGTTTTGTGGGTCCAAAGCGATGGACCCCAGTATAGTCTGCCTGTAGTTACTTAGAGCCTCACAGCGACACAGAACATGTGCTGAGGCCTCTTCCTCTACCCCGCAGCGCTCACACAAGGGATCCTCAGCCCCCATCACGTGCAGGTGGCATGTTATTGCTAGACAACAGTCCCACCAGCAACCTTAGGTTGGCTCTATCCAAGGATAAGCAAAAGCGTCCATCCTTAATGGTACGTGTACACTGTAGAGAAAATCTACCTAGATTTTAGATTTAGATACGTTCTCTAGGTGAGACTTGTCTATGTTCTGTGTACACTATAACATATTTTGGCCCTCGCTAGACCTTCGTAGATATTTCCTAGATTAAATCTATACCAATTTCTCTATGTGGTGTGTACATAACATGGTAGATTTGATCTCGTAAAAACGTATAGGCATTATTGCACCGTAGTTTGTTGGAAGTAGTTTTAAATGTCGCGAATTAAGAAAACTGCAGCTGCCTCTGTTATTTTAATAACGAAGAAGAGAAAAAATGTTGAGCTAAAAAACAAGAAGAGAAGGATGTGGGTTAGGAGCTGGATTTCAAGAAGACAGGATAGTGGTTTTTTTGCTCAATTGGTGAAAGAATTACACAGCGAAGACATGAATTCATACGCTAACTTTTTACGCATGAGTAATAAGGACTATGAATACTTGCTTCAAAAAGTTGAACCATTGATTAGAAAACAAGATACTCATCTTAGGCTAGCTATTTCACCTTCAGAACGGCTCGGTTTTTAGCAACCGGTGAGTATTGAAAGACATGAGTTTGGTTTCTAGGATGTATTTAACTTAAAAAGCAAACAAAAACAACTTCTAATTAAATCATTTTTAGTTGTAGGAGATAGCTATCATTCCCTGCAATACCTTTTTCGGATTCCAGTCACGACCATTTCAAGGATTATACCTGAAGTTTGTGAAGCGGTATTTACTGTGCTGAAAACGGATTATCTCCAAGTAAGTAATTTTCGTAAAACTGCGTGATTGGAGGAAGGTTTGTAGTTGTATTTGTTATCGGTGCCTCTTCAAAACTTTCAACCGTATTTGAAGTTGATGGGTATGTACTCGAATGTGAATAAGTAGGCGACATTAAAGGTGTAAGTGTTCTTGATCCAGAAAACTCCACTTCATCTTCCTCGCTCATTGCAACTATAGCTTTCTGGATTATTCGTTTTAATCTTCTTTTTCGTTCATCAGAACGCAGCTGCCGTAATTCACTAGCAACATATTCACCAAATACGGTATACTCGTCAGTTGGTGTATTTAGTATGTTTTTAGCCTTTTCTAGCATTGCATCACCTTCCTACTCCGTTTTTTCCTTGGCTTTGGTTTTTGGTTTTTTCGAACCATGAGTTGTAGTATTTGATGTTGTTGGTTTTTCTATGCTTTGTAATTGAGACTCCTCCAGAAAATCTTCCTCTTGCGACGAAACCTGAAATAAAACAAAAGTAGCGAATAAGCTTATTTTTAGTTTTGTAATATTACTTTTTCTTTTAGATCCCAAACTCTCAGGAAGAATGGTATGAAGTTTAGGTGCTCTAGATGGCAAGCACGTGGTTATGAAAGCACCAAGGAATAAAGGCAGTCTTTATTTTAATTATAAAGGAACACATAGCATAGTCCTCTTGGCACTAGTTGATGCAAAATACAAATTTCTTTATGTGGATGTCGGATGCAATGGACGCATATCTGATGGTGGCGTGTATGCAATCTGTTCATTGTCAAGAGCATTAGAAAACAACATGTTAAACATGCCAAAACCAAGGCCATTACCGGGTGAATCTGAAGATGCACCTTTTGTTGTTATTGCCGATGATGCTTTTGCCTTGACTTCCTATTTATTAAAACCTTTTCCTTTCAAAAACCAACCCGGATTTAATCGGGTTTTTAACTACAGAATATCAAGAGCAAGGCGTGTAGTTGAAAATGCTTTCGGACTGATCTCGGCTCGATTTCGTGTTCTTAGACGACCAATAGACTTACCTCCAGAGAAGTTTAAAAAAATTGTACTTGCAATATGTTCTTTGCATAATTTCTTACTGACCCAAAAAAGTTCGGCATATTTATATGCCCAAAATGGAATATTTGATACTGAAAATGATGGGAACGTTATCAATGGGAGTTGGAGAAATGGAGGTAATCCTATAGCTAATATGGTTCCTTTACAGACTACAAATGTTAGAAACCCATCGAAAACAGCCAAAGAAGTACGAGAACAATTTAAAAATTATTTTGTATCCAAACATGGTGAAGTCGCCTGGCAGTATAAATATATATAAACATAATACCATTTTATCTGCTTAATGTAATATATGTTTCTAATGCTGAAAAAATGTTTACTCACCGTATCCATAAAGTTTGCAGTGCTTTTGGTGCTCCCACAGCAACCCATCATGAACTGTAACGCATCATAAAATTCCCACTTACTTTTCCACAGTCTATCATCAGTTCCATCTCCACTTTTGGTTTTTTTTTAATTTTCCTTATCTCCGAATTCATTTGACACCTTAAATTATGCCATTTTATTCCAACTTCGGCTTCAGTGGTTTTTAACTGATCTGCTATATATTTTATAGCTTGGGCCTTTTTATCCCGATCTCTGTACTCATTCAATATGCAATTCCAAAGTTCTGGATGTGCCTCGTACATCCCAATTAGCTTGAGAGTAATTTCTTTGTCCCATTTCATAGCTGTTTGCTCATTTACACTTGGTGGGGAAGCCATGCTTTCAACTAATCTATTTAACTCATCGAATAGAGCGAAACAATGCGAGAGTGATCTAGAGAACTAGTCTCAGTACTGTGTCCACTACAACCCTACCTAGACTAACGTCGCGCTACCGAGAGTATTACGCCACACTCGCTAGATCAGTCTCAGTAATATGTACACTATAGACTTAGTCTAAAGCGACTCTAGCTAGCGCAAATCTCGGGGAAAAATCTATAGTGTACACGTACCATAACGCTAGGCCCTACGATGAGTACCCGTGCCTGACGGAGGTGTCTGGAGATACTTCTCCATTTCTGAGAATGCTGTCTTGCTATACCCTTCTCCATTTTCCTCCTAACTCTTTGCGCGGGTACCCCTAAGGCTGGCTCAGGACCAATGAGCTTGCTGGTTGAGCCTGCTTTCATAACACCCTTCCCCCCCAGCATGGACCGGTACCCACACCAACAATAGAGGGTGCCTCGTTGCTAGACAATCCCAAGCATCCCTGCATTACATTACAAGGCTCGAAGCTATTTTACAGGTACCTAGTCTGGCTGTCGGAGAAGATCGTTATTTTTCCCCAAAATGCGGGATGCAAGTCAGAACCCCAAAGGTTTCATCCTGGAAAATAGTGGTGTATTCCCCAAGAGGCAAAGATAGCCTAATTCTTGGCCCAAAGACGTCGGCACCAGAGCCCTCTTTAGTGTCCGAGCCGTCCGTGTATCAGACCTGTCCACCCGCTCCGGAGATCTTCCGACCACCGGAGTCCCACTCCGCCCTCGTTTGATCTCCACATTAAACTTGTGGTTGAAGCGACATTTATTGGTTATCATATCAGTCCTGCTCAGAAGGACAAGATCCTCCCTTTGCAGTTCAACTAGGATGGACCTTGACAGGATTGAAAGAGGCCTAGCTGCCCTGATTCGATGTGGGTCTACCCTCGCCTATCCCTGGGAGATCCAGCAGACCTTCCATTGCACTCAATGGCGTTGTCCGCACTGCGCTTGCAATACTGATACAAGTAAAAGGCTGAATTTTATTGCGTTTGGCCTTAGTTGTCTCGGTTTTACAGGACACGTTTCAGATGCTACATAAAATCATGTAACGTACTGTCACGCGAACTAAAACCGTATATAAAATTTCAGCTTTAATGTTATGTGGTTCAAAATTTAGTTTCAAGAATTGTCTCATACAAAGTTAAATAAAAACTTGAAATAATCAAAATAAGCGAAGTTCATCAAATTCTTTAACTATGCTCAACAGGATACAAAAAGTTAAAACTCACATGAAAGCTCAATCTAGGAACGATCCGGATTCTCATTTTCCGCTGATAATTCCGCTTCCTCCTGAACGCATTTTAAAGTCCATAAAACTTGTTTGTTGTTCCATAATTGTTTGTCAAAGTAGCATCAAAATCCCAGTGGTATTTTCCAGGTTGTAATGGGGCAAATATTTACAGTCAAATACCAAGAGACAGACCAACTAATGTGAGTCATAGCGTTCCATCATGATTTAAAGAAACATCGACAAGCAGCGAACAACAAAATCTCTTTTCTATTACCATTATTTAAAAAATCATGCCCAACTATGCAACAAAATATGGTTAGTGCCAGTAAGGCTTAATCATGTGACTAATGGTAATATAGAATTTTTTTACATCGCACCCTTACACGTGAGGAAGTATTGTAATCGCGAAAAACTTCGAAATGTGGTAATATGTTTTTTTGATGTTATAATATGACATGCACATCACGAAAAACCATGTCACTCATTTCCGTCGGACTGTCTGTCAGTCTGTCTGTCGGTCTGCCTAACGGTCGGCATGTCTGTCTGTCTGTCTGTCTGTCGGTCTGTCGGTCTGTCTGTCGGTCTGTCTGGTCTGTCTGTCAGTCTGTCTGTCGGTCTGTCTGTCGGTCTGTCTGTCGGTCTGTCGTCGGTCTGTCTGTCTGTCTGTCGGTCTGTCTGTCGGTCTGTCGGTCTGTCTGTCGGTCTGTCTGTCGGTCTGTCTGTCGGTCTGTCTGTCGGTCTGTCTGTCGGTCTGTCTGTCGGTCTGTCTGTCGGTCTGTCTGTCGGTCTGTCTGTCGGTCTGTCTGTCGGTCTGTCTGTCGGTCTGTCTGTCGGTCTGTCTGTCGGTCTGTCGTCGGTCTCTCTGTCGGTCTGTCTGTTTGTCTGTCCGTCTGTCTGTCGGTCTGTCTGTAGGTATGTCTGTCGGCCTGTTTGTCTGTTGATCTGTCAGAAAATCTTTCGCCCGTCTTTAATGGTACTGATCGGATTTGCATGAAATTTTTACACAAGGTAACCGCTATACCAAGAAAAAATATTTTATTCATACGCTTTTTATTCCGCTAACTCTAGGCATCAATTGGTACATATAGATTTCCACGTATATTTGTTCTTAAAACTTGGAGAAATATCAAACGGACGTGTCGCATCAAAGTCGCAATTGAATATGACTTGCTCCCACTGCCACACTGTTCAAGTTTAGCAGCAAAGCCTGGCTAACGTTGCCAGATAGTCGATACTTTCAGTAGGGGCAGGGAAAAGTTTATAGATCGCAGCGTTATTGAATCAATGTACTAAATGTATGGGCCTGTTTGGCTCACGTGATCCATGTCTTGTGTTATACATGTTGGTAGTTAAGTTTTCTTATTGATGGCACCTTTGCTTGGAAGTGCAGAGTCAACCTACTCGACGCCTGTTTTTTCTCTTCGCCAGGAATTACGCATTGAATTATCAACAAATCCAGAAATACCTGACAATCGAAGAACCATGTAGGAGTAAATCTAAAAGCAAAAGATGTATGGTTAACAACTGGTTAACAAGCGAAGTCGAAAGGCAGAAGAACAGCGTGATCTAGTTCGTAACTCCTAATCGACGGTTCATAATCTGCCTTCTAGTGTAAATAATGATCGTGCCTCTTTGTAGTCTAGTTTCCTGTACCACCCACCGTTCCTTGACATGATCGATGGTCTACTTAACGTCTTCATGAGACCGGCTAGGCTTAGGCTTGGTAGCTAGGCAGATCATACACTTCAGTAAAGGTAAGTTTGATATTTTAATGAATATTATAATAACAGAAACGTGAGGTGGTCGTAGTTGACAATGAAAAACATACTCTAGTGATCTAAAGTTCTGAAAACTGCAGTTGTCGTCTCAACAAGTTGACCAGTTATTTTTCTAAGTGAAATTTTCCAAGAAAGCCATAATGTCTGGAGCCGTTTATATTCCACTAAAGTCGCATAAGCCAAAGATAACATTCATTATTTATTTGTTGAAAGAATATGGCTCTATTTCATCTGATTTCTGCAGCTTACGGAAAGAAAACCATTTTTCGAAAATTGTGGGAAGAATCAGATCCTAAATATTTGAAAACGGTGTATTTTTCTTTTCACAGGAAGGCAAACATTTGAGCTAATTATTTCTTACTAGCACTGGAGACTCATACCTTTGTTACTACTATATCCAGTACGAAAGTAGGTATGAACATGTGTAATCTATGGACAGCTTTACCCCCCATTTACCGTCACTGACGGGATTTCACGGTAAATTTCTCCGGCACTGGCAGAAATCAGTTCTTTTCAGTTGCTCCAGAATACTAGTACTTAGTAGGACCGTATTTAGCGTACTGCGGAACTAATTTCGGTTTGAAAAAATGGTCAACCGCAGGGGTCAAAACTGATGGTCTGCTCAAGCCACATGCTATGGGCAACTTGCGGGAAATAGACCTTGAATGCGGATATACACAATATGTATTGCTATGGGTATTTAACAATTAGCAGATACTTAGAAGATACAAAGCGTAGTAATTGCTTCGGCTCACCTCTAAACTAATAATATATAGTTTGTAGAAAAAAAGAATCCAGAGAAATGTAAGAATTTACCTAAAAGTATGACAGCCATTACTATTTCATCGATAGAGGTCGATCTGATTTCATTTTGCTTTCGAAAGCAAGGGAAGTATTATGATTACGGAAAGGGCAACCGCTCGCTTTGTATGAAATCTTGCAGTGTTTCTGAATCTTTTATTAGTTGCGACCCAATGTAATCACCAATGTAATAATAAACTACAGTTTGAGTTTTAGGCATCTCCGTCGAGAAGTATTTCACCTCAGGGCTTTACGAAAACTAAAATCAAAGATTGCATAGACTTCTTAAGAGCTTATTATGTTATCTACCGAAAGCAGCTTCTTTGCTTTAACGTTTCCGAACGTGTAGGTAGAAAATGCGTCCCCTTGTACCGTGTACAATAATCCATAACCTGTTTTTTTTTGTTAACAAAAATCAATTAAAGATCCTATCTTACTCTATGATAGAAAATTGGCAGGTCATATGAAGCTTATATTTTGGAACAGTAAACTTTGCAGGAATAATATTAGTTCTCACATCATACAATGATCGTTATACTTGGAATTTGGTTCAGCTACAATGATTACAAAAGATGGAAAGAAGTTTCAAAATGTCTTTTGCACAGGCTTGTTATAGTATTTTATCACATTGCATCAAATAATGCTTTCATTGGTTCAAAAACGGTTCATGTACGGCCCAAATTATCCCTTTTTAGGAAAAAGTTAACTACGAACATGTATAATAGATAAAAAAAGGCATATTTTGCGGTTTT